CGGCCATACGGAAAAATTCAATCCGTGAGAAAGAGAAACCCTAACTTTCTCATGGAAGTAACTGCTAAGTATATTTGTGTTACATAGTTCTTGTTCTGTTTTGACGTTTAGATTTGTATTGAAACAAACTCTATTTAATTTGTTTACTCGAATACCTGATGAGGATTACCTTGAATTTTCGGTTCTTACTTTCTGGAGCTAATTCTTTTGTTCTTAATCTCTAAAATATGAGGATACATTGGTTTATGTCAATTTTATGTATCAAAAGTAATTTTGTGTTATTTAAGATGATAAACATTAATTGAGAACTCAGTATGATTAGCAGTCTGTGCTAATTGGTTAACTTGGGTATTGACTTAAATTGAATTTTTTTTTTTTTTTCTATCACTATTATCTTGGTATAATTTTTCACTATATTGTATTGAAAGGTACGCCAAGCTGGGTGCTTGGGAACAGGTTTAGCATTGATTATGATTTGAAAAGGAATATACTAATAAAAGTTGACCTAAACAGTTCCTTTCCTCTTAGCCACGATGATCTGCTTTAATACATCATAATGTGCTATATTTTATCTTGTTTGTTTGTGTTTGTAATTGGTCTTTGTTTTTATTTGTTTTGCGAAATGATTATGAGAACAAATATGGAGCACAAATGTAAGACACCATCAGATGATTTAATTGAAATATGAGATGAGTAATAAAATCAGACAACTGTTCCGGAGTAAATAGACCTTGGCCTTCATTCAGGTTGCTTTTTGATAGTCAATATTGTCGCGATATTGTTTCTTCTTCGTGTTCACTGTAGATGTGAAATTTCTTAGATCATTATGTCTTTCAAATGCGTGTGTCATCGCTGGCACTCAATAAATGTTGTGCTCGTTTCAAGGCATTGTATTTCCAAATAGGTGAATGGCGTAAACATTCTGGAAGGAGATGCAGTCTATTTTGTTTTAGAGGAAGTACCTATGTTGTGTATTGTTTTAGGTAATTTGTTGGATGTTTGCTTGAGAAGGTACAGGTACAGGTACTGTTTGATAGGTAATTTCTCTAGTTCTTCCACACTTTCGCTATGTCTGTGAGTTCGTATTTGTGTAGGGCTGTAGAAAGAAGTACAGCAGTCTGCAAAGATGGTGTTCTCAGAAAGATAATAAAAGAACTAAGAAAAAGAAAATGGCTTATCTGATATACCCTTTATGTATTGGCATTTATCGAGAATATGCATAATCACTTAACAATAACTAAATTGTGATGAGATAGAAGGAAGAAGTGAGTTAAATGTGTGAAATAATAACGTGAATGGAGGAAAATGAGTATTTACTTACTTACTCAAGTTGTTGGGATTATATGATTTGTTGAGAAAATTTGATTATACTTAACCTTACCTGCATATGATGGTGACATTACAATTGTGTTTATAACAGTTGTTTTAGACTATAGTTCATCCAATAGTCACTTGTGCTTTATTATTTATGTACCAGCTTCACATTAACCCTTGGAAAGTGAAATTGCAAATTCTTGCAGTCAGATAGCAGGAAGACGGGATATTTTCTCAAGTTAGATAAATGGAAGTTTGCCGGTGTAGTCTAGAAATTACAATGCACATCTTGTGCATACCCTGATATTAAATGGGTTCAAATTCGTCAGAGGAGTTCATCGAATCTCCTTGGATTCAAGTTTCAATCCCTGTGTGACTTGGTGGTGTTCCATGCAACAGAATTTACTTTTCACTTGTTTTTATTAGGTTTCTCTGATAATTCTTCACAGACCAGAGTATGTTTTTAGAGTTTATCACAAGTTCTAAGTTACAATCAGTTAACCCATTTTGATGGTTCCTTTGATTATCTCTCGTGTCTGGCCGTATAGGACTACCATCCATGTACGGCTGCGTCTATGTACAAGCTAGAGAAGTCGGTAGTCTTTATTACCTATTATCTACATATTATGAACTCTCTTCCAATTTATATCCCCGTCATCGCTCCTTATTATTTTATTGTAACAATTAATTCATCCATATTAAACTGTGATAGAGGACATCACCTATGTGTTCCTTGAAATTCTGAATTCAGGTCATTATCTTCTAGCTAATTCTTTCATAGTTTAACCATGTTCTGCATGTTAGTTGCTACTCCAGATTATCAAGAGTGTGCTCGATCCTTGTGAGGATGAAAATGATGACATTCAAGATGATGATGTGAGCTTGGGGGCTGATTTTGTACAAAAGAGTGTTCTGAATTTCATTTCATTTCATGTTTTGGTCAATTTCACGTATATATTATGTGTGTATGCAGTGTAATTCTTAACTAAAATTTTGTATTTGTGGTTGTGTTATTGGGAAACAGATAGCAAAGTTCTTATGGAGGTCTGGTTGGTTGTGAAAACAGTGATGCTGGGGAACCAGCAATGGAGATTCTTGAAAAAAGGATAGTACAGAATGGAGCAATATCTTTCTCCAGGGGGGCAGAAGCCTTTGAGAATGAGAAGCAAGAATATGGGGAAATTGAGTCTGGTAATCTGGAGGGAACAGAGGGTCAGCACCCAAGTGTTTCTAGCTCTGGAAAGGGCGAAGATTTTGAATGTGGAACAAATGATGCAGAAGTCAACATTGATTCCGAATCCAAACCTGTAGTTCATGAAGAAACTGTGGTGATGAGCACTGATGTTTCAGATACGGTGAAGCCACTGAACTTCGATGAATTTAATTCAGCAGCAGAGTTGGAGGTATTATGACCAACTTTTCTTTCTGTTTATGTGTGAAGTAAATTGGTTTTGATTGCCTTGCTTTCGGATTAAACTGGGAAATTTTTTCTTAAAACAATCAAGGGACTGATGGTCTCTTCCATGAAGTTGTCAATTGCAATGCATTCTGCAAAAGAAGAAGATAATAGCCTGTTAGTTGAAACTGTGTCTGTTCTTGAACTGTGTTTATTGAATAACGTGTCTCTCTGATTTCATAATGTCCTATAGAGAGGGAAAGAAACAGCATAAAGTTATAATTTGCAAAATTTCACATTGCACTTGTAAAATTATCTTGCCAGTTTTATATTTATGATGTCTTATTGTAGTCAAGCTGACACAGGCCGTCTACTTTTGCAGCGTTGACAGCAACTAACATTTTGAATTTTTCTGGTATGATCTTTTAGGTTCTCGGTATGGAAAGGTTAAAATCGGAGCTGCAATCACGTGGGTTGAAATGCGGGGGTACATTGCAGGAGCGTGCTGCCAGGCTCTTCCTTCTCAAAACCACACCTTTGGAGAAGCTTCCAAAAAAGCTGCTTGCTAAGAAATGAGATATCACATCCCTCTGATAACTTTGTTTTTGTTGTGGGTGAATTTGTACCTTGTGATGTCCATTTTGAAGTCTCTTTACTCCTTTTTTGATTGGTCATGTAGTTTATGTATGCCTTGATGTTCATGTTGGGAACCCAGGGGAAGCAATCCGATGGGGTTCCTCTGTACTAAAACATTCCCTCACGTTCTTTTGACAATAATGGATGTATCATTGCTTATTATCACTACATCTTGATATTTTCTGCTATTTTGTTTGATGATTATAGATAGTTTTTTTTTTTAAATATAGTTTATATATCTAGCTTAGACTTAAGGGAGTAAGGCAGCTGCATTGGGTTGGTGTTAGTGTTGCCCAATCTTGCCTCTAGCAAGGATCAAATTCCCCAATCTCTCGTATGTGAGAGGGGGAGGTGCAGCTGGGCTGGAACATATTTGAAGTTAATTATGTGTTTCAATTAATTTCATGATGATGTGTGCCTTCAAAGCATGGACAAATGGAACCCTGGATTGCTTCTGGTTCTGTATCTGTTGTAAACTTTTTATATATATTATTGATCGGCTTTGTAAACTTTGTGTATTATCTGGATGGTGAACAATAAAAATAAAAATCTCTGTTTGACACCACTTAGAATAAGCTTTAGGAAAAGGTGCATAATTCAAGTCTCAGTTGGGAAATAATACTAGTTGTAAAAGTAAGTGTGGATGATTTACCTGGAAGATAGTAGTCTGATTGGCAACTCGTATAACATCTCGCATTCTTACACAGATTTTATCAACATGGGAGTATGTTTTTAGTGTCCAATTTTCTCTAAACTTTGGAGTGTATACTTTTAATTATATGCTCATAATTACATATTACCTATAAATAAAAAAAAGATTCACGATTATAGAGATAGTGTTGCATTCATCACCATTGGATTGCCTTGTTCTGCGTAGAGTAATAAACTTTGTTTAGTAGTGTCCCAGGGGTGGATTTCCGTCTGCAGTAACTGTTTTGCACATATATAGAGCTCATAACGGCCATAATGTAGTTGTGGAAATCTCATGCAAATGTATAGCTTTGGATAAGCTTTGTTTGCTCTTTTCTTATTAGTATTGTTATTATATGATGCAGCTGACAGAAATGAAGAAAACAAGCAAGTCAATCCTGTGTCTGCATACTTGCATTGGCCTCTGAAAAGAATGAAAGACTTTTCTAACTTTTCTTTTTATTCAATGAATCACATAAACACTGTACAAGATATTATATAGGAAAATATCTAACTAACTCAGTAACTAACTAACCAACTCAGTAACTAATGCAGTAACTAACTTAGCTAACAAACACTCTAACCATCTAACAAACATTACAACTGTAGCTATGTTTGTTACAGATATTTTCTGAAGAGCATTTAGGAAAACAAAACTGTGATGAACAAGATATCAATGCTGACTTCTTCTGCAGTGATGGCTCTGCCTCTAGCTGTGAATCTGTGGTTGCTGCAGCTGGGTATGTATGTATCTTAGCAGCCTCACATGCAGGCTGATCAGGTGCGTGGACTAAGTTTGAGAGAAATCGGAGGTGGTTTTCCAAAACACCATCCTGTTCCATCTCTTCATTGCTAAACCCTTAACAATGGTGCAAAACATAAAGAGACTAAGGGGACATAGGGAATTTAAAAAAAAAAAAAAAAAAAAAAAAAAAAAAAAAAAAAAAACATATGGGGAAATTAGTGGGTACCCATCCCCAACCCATCCCCTGTGGGTATTTAAAGAATATCACATACCCTACCCAATGGATAAGAAAAAGAGGGGAAAACCCATGTATTTGGGTTGGGTCTCCATGGATACCCACAGGGTAGGTTATCCATTGCCATCCCTAGATGTAGTTTTTAACTTGGTATGGAATAGGCCACTCAAAATAAAATTACAAGTCTAATTTGCCCTTCATTATATTATGAGACCCTACATTCCATGACAAAGCTAAAAAAATGTTGGGGGTTTAAATAACCACAGGTTCATAGCATTTTTTTGTAATTTATGTTAGCATATTTTCCTTTATGTTATGGGTACAATCTAAGCAATAGGGTGCGCACTGTGCACATTAACAACTAGGATCAGTTTTCCCGCCCTTGGCAGTTATGGCAGTTAACTGTATGGAAGCTTCTATTTGTGTGTGTGTGTGTGTGTGTGAGTGTGGGGGCATATTAAACCCAGTTCAGAACTTGCTACTCTGTCTTGCTCTCTCAACTTCAAAGATTAGCCATATTCAAATCTTCTTGAACACCCATGTTTTGCCGTAAAGAACCCGAGTTCATCATTCACTTTCTCCCTTAGTTCATCACATTTATGCTCTGTTTTTCTGTAGAGAGTCTACATTAGATCATCACAAGTACAGATCCCCCCAACAATTTTCTTGAAATTGCTTAACTTGGCTGCTTCAGAGTTCTTTGATTGATCAAGTTTACAACAATGTGAAGGGTCTATCTTACTGAATTTGATCAAACTCCAGATAATCATTTCTACCTCTGCCGCGTTTGTCAAGCCCACATTGCTCTATCCAGTGACTTTCACTATAACTTCACTGTAAAATCTCTCTGTATATATATATCTGCAATTTTCAGTTACCATGATCAATATTACTATCTTTGTAAGTACTTCTTTAGTGCATATTTTTGCTGCTGAATTGTTTCAGTTTTTATCATGATTTGATATTGTTTTTCATATACTATGTAGTTCCTTATATTCATTACCAATGTGTGTATAGCATATACTTGCAGAAGCAAAAGTAGATGGCAAATACATGATATAGATGTTAGAATATTGTATATCAGTCGAACCCTCCATTAGAATAGCTTTAGCATAGCTTTAGCAGACTTCATTATTATTTGTATAGCTTTATGATAGACTAGCTTTAACTTTATATTATTAATTGTATAGTGTTTGCTTTCGGTGATAATGGTGGTATCCAATGCCCCTTTCTCTCTCTATAAAGAGAGCCTTCATCTCTTTGTAAAACACACAACATAATACAAACATTTCAGAGTCTCTCTCTCACTCTATAGCTTCTCTCACTCTCTCAAACTAATCTTTCAGTCTTGTACCATCACCACCACACCATCATAGCCATAACATATTTGCAATCATCATGCCATTGCTACACTATTATCAAATCGCTCGGAATTTTCTCACGATTCCAACGGCACCTAGCCCGTTCTCAGAACACCCTCCACGCGCCCACACGCGCCGCCTTTACCTTCTGCGCGTCACCAGCTCCGCCACCACTCTCACACGCGCCCGCACGCGCCATCTGTTGCCACTCACCTCCGCCACGCGCCTCCACGCGCCCACACAACCGCGGCTGACGTCAGCCCTGCCACTCCCGTACGCCGCGCCTGCTATCGTGCGCCTTTCGTGCGCCGCTTCACTACATTGCACCCGCGTGCGCCGAAACGGCTATTGTGCGCCGCGCCTGCGCCTGTTTCGCTACCGTGCGCCGCCGCCTTTCTGCTAACGTGCTCCTCCCTGCACTCAGCTAACGTGCGCCGCTGACATCATCGCTGACATCATCTCTGTCCAGCAGCCTTTTCTGGCTATTTTCGACCTTCCGGACTCACTGGTATACTCTGTTTTACCAAATTTTGCTCCTACAGGTCTCTTCCTGTTGCTTTAATCCTACTTAACTAGTATTATGGATCGTCTTGACACCTCCCATCCCATTTCCGTTATTCTGAATGGTTCAAACTATGTTCTGTGGGCCCAAGCCATGTCTTCCTTTCTTAAAGGCAAGAAGCTCTGGCGAATTGTCACCGGGGATGTGACTAAACCAGTCAAAGAAAGTGCCACTACTGAAACTACTGTTCATACTGCTACATATGAAGACCGACTTGAGGAATGGGACAGTAAGAATTACCAAATCATTACCTGGTTTCGTAATACCTCTGTTACCTCTATCAGTCTTCAATTTGGCCGCTTTCAGCTTGACTCTGTAACTACTCCTGCGAAAGACATCTGGGATTTTTTGAAAGAACGATACCAGACTACTGGTCTTGCCCATCAATATCAACTTCAGAACCAACTTCACCGCATGCGGCGGCGCACAATAGCCGTTTTGGCGCACGCGGGTGCAATGTAGTGAAGCGGCGCACGAAAGGCGCACAATAGCAGGCGCGGCGTACGGGAGTGGCAGGGCTGACGTCAGCCGCGGTTGTGTGGGCGCGTGGAGGCGCGTGGCGGAGGTGAGTGGCAACAGATGGCGCGTGCGGGCGCGTGTGAGAGTGGTGGCGGAGCTGGTGACGCGCAGAAGGTAAAGGCGGCGCGTGTGGGCGCGTGGAGGGTGTTCTGAGAACGGGCTAGGTGCCGTTGGAATCGTGAGAAAATTCCGAGCGATTTGATGTATGCCACTGTGTATGGGACTAAACACCAAAATCGAAAATTGCCAGAAATGTAACACTGGGCTCTGATACCATGAAAGAATAATTTGAGAGAGTGATAGAGGATTGAGAGAGAGAGAAAGAGCTACTGAAATATTCTGTTGTTGTATTAATTTACAAGATGATTTACACTCTCTTTTATAGAGAGGGAAAGCTACATAGGGTGCCTTAATAGCACCGAAAGAAGAAACACAAATGGGGAACATCATTATGACTAACACTAACATCATTGTGACTAACACTAGAATACAAATGGGGAACATCATTATGACTAACACTAGAATATACAATAATAAACTAACAATGGAATATACAACAATAATAAACTAACATCATTATTGTATATTCTAGTGTTAGTCATAATGATGTTCCCCATTTGTATTCTAGTGTTAGTCATAATGATGTTAGTGTTAATCATAATGATGTTCCCCATTTGTGTTTCTTCTTTCGGTGCTATTAAGGCACCCTATGTAGCTTTCCCTCTCTATAAAAGAGAGTGTAAATCATCTTGTAAATTAAGATAATAACAGAATATTTCAGTAGCTCTTTCTCTCTCTCTCAATCCTCTATCACTCTCTCAAATTATTCCCTCAATACATACTGCTGATGGTTCCCTCATGTCGGTTCGTCATGTTGGTAATGTTTCCACCTTTTCTTTATCTCTACCTCACGTTTATCATATCCCTGCTCTTACCTTAAACCTTATTTCCATTGGTCAATTATGTGAACTTGGTCTAACTGTCACCTTTTCTGCTACTGATTGTTTGGTACAGGACCCTCAGACGGGGTAGACTATTGGGATCGGCCGTAAGCGTGGACGTCGCTATGAACTCATTCACCTTCATGTTCCTGCCTCTCCTCAGATTGCTGCTCCTGCATCTACTTCCTTATTATCTCCCTTTCATCTTTGGCATTGTCGCTTAGGGCATATTTCTGTTACTCGTTTAAAGTCTTTGGTTTCTAGTGGACAGTTGGGTCATGTAATTCCCGATAATTTCGATTGTATACCCTGTCAACTTGCTAAACAACCTGCTTTATCATTTAATAAGAGTACTTCTATTTCTCTTGCCCCTTTTGATCTTATACATTCGGATATTTGGGGGCCCTCCCCTACTACTACTATGGGGGGATCCCGCTATTTTATTGTTTTTATTGATGATTTTTCCCGGTTTACTTGGCTTTTCTCATGAAAAATAGGTCTGAACTTAAACACATTTATTATCGATTTGCACAAATGGTTCACACCCAATTCTCCAAAACCATCAAAATTTTTCGCTCTGAAAATGCTATGGAATATCGGGATTCAGATTTCCTTTCTTTTCTTCAGCATCACGGTACACTGCCTCATCGTTCCTGTGCTAGCACGTCCCAGCAAAATGGCCGCGCTGAACGGAAACATAGGCATATTCTTGACACTACTCGCGCTCTCCTCCTCTCTTCTTCCTGTCCTGAAAACTTTTGGGGAGAAGCTGCCCTCACTGCTGTTTACACTATCAACTGTGCTCCTACCCCTGTCATCCATAATCAAACTCCCTTTGAACGTCTGCATGGCACTCCCCCTCCTTACGCCAATCTCCGGGTTTTTGGCTCTGCTTGTTTTGTTCTACTTCAATCCCATGAACACACCAAGCTTGAACCTCGCTCTCGTCTTTGTTGCTTTCTTGGGTATGGCATTGAACATAAAGGCTTTCGCTGTTGGGATCCTCTCTCTAAACGTCTTCGTATCTCCCGCCATGTCGTTTTCTGGGAACACCAAATGTTTTCCTCGCTATCCTCCTTTCACTTACCCGGACTTTCCACTACTGCACTGTTTACTAATCCTTCAATCGATCTTTTCTCTGCTGATTTTGATACAGGTTCCTCCTCAATCGAGACGCCCTTGCTCACCCCTGATCCTGTCCAGCCTGCTCTATCTGAAGGTCTACCTCTTGTTGCCACACCTCCTTCTCCACCGACTCTTCCTCCCACCGATCCTCCTACGGGTCGACCACGCCGGGTAACTCAACCTCCTATCCATCCTCCTGGCCGCTTTCATGATCTTGTTTCCAAACTCAACTTGGTTGATGCTTTCCCTCCTTGAGTTTGCGGGGGGATGTTAGTTTATTATTGTAGTGTTAGTTAGTTTATTATTGTATAAAGGTTAGTGTATATCAGTACTATTAGAATATGATAGTTAGTGTTAGTCATAATGAATGTTCCCATTACCTTTCTTCTTTCGGTGCAAATTGGTGGCACCCTATGTAGCTTTTCCTCTCTATAAAAGAGAGTGTAAATCTCCTAATAATACACACAAATAACTGAATAATTCAGTGGCTATTTCTCTCTCTCTCAATCCTCTATCACTCTCTCAAATTATTGTTTCACTGAGCAAGCTTTTTGTTGCCGAGATGTATGGAATCATAAATTGAGCATTGTTGCCAAGGGAGCCTTTCATGCAAAATTGTTAATGAAGTGCACGACTTGATATAAACAATATAGCTATATATGTATGGTTGCCGAATTCATTGTACCCATCGGAGTGCCCTACGGGAAGGTAGGTGATGACGATTATTACCCGGGAAACAATATAGACGCTTGCCGGCCACTTGTCTTGGATTTTGATGTGCCGAAACCTGCGATTGGCAACCTCTTTTTGTCGTGCTGATGACGTGAAGAACCGGGGTGACATTCGGCATGGCATTGGGAGTTTGCTAATCATGCTAACAGCCGGGATGATTACCGAAGCAACATAAAAATATATAAGGCTTCAAATAAAGAAACAAAGTCATGTTGCAGGAACAATGGAAGCATACATGGAGGAAGTACCAGAACTGAAATCAAGAGGAGTGTCGTTTAAAAATCAGCATAAATTACCTAATACAGTGAGTATTGCATATAAAATGTGTAGATTGAAATCTGTATTTTTCACATTTGCTTTTCTAATTGTTAATTTCTTGCAATCGAATTTTCATTAGAATGGGAAGTGGGACAACAGATGTTTGAGTAGAGCTTTGAAGAACTCAACTGTGGAGAGCAAGCCATTTCCTTCAATTTATAACCAGTCCCCGGATGCTTCAAAGATCCCCGCTCATGCCATGGAGTTCTTGTGTCGATCATGGACCTCGTCCGCCTCCGACTTTCAGCAGATATTTTCATCAAGCGTGAGAAACTAAATCTGATATTTGCACTGGTGGTTCAAGTCATTAAAATGCACCACTTCTGCCTGCCCTAATTAGGTTTTTTTTTGGTTTGTTTTTTTCAGAACTTGGTCTTGCCCTTGAATGCCTGTGGTAGGATAGAGGAGCATGAAGAAGGGAATGCAGAAGAGGAAACATTGGAGAAGCAAGTCAGGAAAAGCGGATATATAACCAACAAGATGGACAACACATGGGTACTATCGCTCTCTCATTTTTTAGGCTTACATTCTATGAAGCATGAATACATATACCAATACCATGACATAGCAATTCTTTAAAAGAAAATAAGCTATTGGTATGGCCAGATATATTGAATTTTTTTTTATCGTTTCTTATGACTTATAGAATTATATTATAGGGCAAATTATGCTACTAGTTCATATATTTGTACCCTTGTTTCATTTTAGTTCTTATAATTTCAATTAACTTGATTTTGACTTTGAATTTATGATTTTAAATTAATTTAAGAGTTAATTTTGTGTGGATACGTTAATTACTTAATCTCAATTCCTTCTTTGGTAAGAAATAAGAAAAATTTAGAAAATATTAAATATCTGATCTATTTTACAAGTATCCAAGCTTTATAGCTTGCATAACTGGATGCTCGTTGTGCAATGAACATTCATCTGATACAACTTTTTTTTCATACTGAGAAATGTAGTAATTTGTTACTAAATTTATAATTCACTCACTCTGTAGATGGACTTCAATCACATGAAGGGGTCGCTGAAACTTAAACCACTAACGCAAATCTTTAGATCGCGTAGCAAGAAGAAGAAAGAGGAGTTTCGACTCCACACAGCAAAACTACACGCAGCCCTTTCTCTCACGCAGTTGGCTGCAGCAATAGCAGGCTTTGCCACCAGTGGCACCAGCACAGAAGCGCAACAAGATCACATCGAACATATTACTAGCAGCAGAGCTAGTACGTTAGCATTGTGGGATCAAGACGCTGGTGTTGTAGTTGCCTCGGCTGCAGCTTTACTAACCACAGTATGCGCAGAGGCAGCAGAATCTCTGGGCGCAAAGCGTGCCCATGTTGCCTCTGCTGTGAAATCTGGCCTGGCTACTCAAACTCCTGTTGACATGGTCACACTAACTGCCACAGCTGCAACATGTAAATATCTGACACACCCTTCTTCAATATATAATTGTATCTTTAAACATTAATTTTGAAGGATATATATAGATAGATAGATAGATAGATAGATATTTGTAATTAGGTTGATATGTTCATGGGATTGACCCCCTTGATAACAGGTCTAAAAGGAGCTGCAACCCTCAAATCACGGGCTAAGGCAGGGACAGACTTGCCAAGGAACCAAGAGCTACTCAGAGTTGGTGCTCAAATATCAATTGTCATGCCTTCTGGTGAGTGAGACCCATAAAACTAGCTTCTTCTTCTTCTTTTTTTTGTTGAAATTTTCAACCCATGCAAGGCCATGTGCATATCTTATGCACTTGCATATATATAGTGATGCATGTTATGAGTTTGTTTGATATAACTTCTTATAAGCTAAATACTGATACAAATATAAAAAATAAAAGTTAAAAGCACTTCTCCCATGCTGCTTCTCAATAATCAATTTTATTTCAACTTATTTAACCGAATTTTGCCTCATAAGTTAGTTATAAGCAAAGTTGCACCAAATATTTTGACACTGTTTTAATAAATAAATAAATAAAAACTATAAATAGGTCTAGAAGTTGCTAAAAGTTGTTAGAATTTAGATTTGAGTCAATGTTAAGTACATTTGAATTTGGATTTGGAAAATTTGAATTTGGAAATGCAACTTTTTATTTTATTTTATATTTTTGAATAAAAAATAAAACTCAAATGTGATACGAGTTTGACTTGAGAAGTCGAGAGGTATTTTGAATAATTTTTATTCAAATTTAAATTTGAGAAAGGGTTTGGGGAAGCGATGAAGATCCCTTTATAGAGATGTGTATGTCTCTCAGTGATTAATGAAAGTCAAATACTACTTGTGTACACAGGTGAGAAAGGATGCAAATGGGTGACAATCTATCTAAAGCGAAGACAGCTCACATTGAGCTTCAGAAAGAAATACTTGGGAGGATTCCTAACAGCTACCAAAGAGTGTATGATCCCCATCTTTCTCTATAATTTGTCACCATATATATATATATATATATCAAATACTTAGTTTGGGTTGACAAAAACGAAAACAAAAACATTACACTAACGCCTCGTTTGACACGTGACTTTTTTAGTCAAAAGGTCAAAAAGTCACTAAAAAAATTAAAAAGTCAACAATCTATATCAAAAAGTTAAAGATTCTATTTTTTCTCTACTTTTTGCACATCTTTTTTTGTAAAAAATCAAAAAGTCATCCCAAACATATTAGTTTTTTTTACATCATATTTTAACAAAAAATTCAAAAAGTTACTAAAAAAACTTGTTCCCAAACGAGACTTATTGATGTGTTTAATTCACTTGAATGAAATGAAGTGATTATTCCTTACACTGTGTTTGCATCATAAATTTGAATAGGGATTTAAAAAGGAAAAAAAAATAAAAAATTTTAATTTATATTTCATTCACGTTTTCGTCTCACCTTTTCCTTTCCTTTTTTTAAATTTCCACTAAAATTTATAATCTAAACGCAACCTTAGACTTTATGTAAAATGATCATTCTTTTATAATAGTGAAAAATGATTTCATTTACAATATATTTTTCATCATTAGTAAATCAAACAAGAGAAAAAATACTTTAATAGAATGATCATTTTATTCCATACCAATTCCAATGAAATAAACGCTACTTCATTGTAATGGAGCTATGTTTCACTGAGAGAACGAAAAGAAAAAGGAAAAAAAAAAAAAAACACAATCTAAATCAGAATTACTAAACCTGGTTATGATTCTCTTACCATTTCCAGATATGATTATAAATGTTATTGAGGAAAGCAAGGACATTAAAGGCATCTACTCTCTCATCCTGAAGACTAACAAAGGCATTGCGAAGCTGCTCTTTGAAGATGAGAAGCAGTCTAGCATCTGGGTATCAACCATTTCCAATCTCTTACAGATGCACAACTCTTGCTGATAATTGTCTAGTCACAGTTGTTGCAACTCTAATATTTGTTCATAGGTTTCTCCCACTTCTTGTTACATAAAGTTCACGTCAGTTGTACAATTGTATAGCTAAAGTATCTGAAACATTCCTTCGTGGATGTTGGTGGAAGTTGAATGCACTGGACTCTTCAATAAAATCACTATAACAAAAAAAAGTTTTTACGGCGTCAAATGCACGTGGCGGAGCCAAAAAATAAAATTAGAGAGAACACTTATTAATTATAATATCGAAAATTTTTACAAAAAATATTTCACGTAAGTTTTTACTATTGATTTCGAGAAACATCAAAAAAATAATGTTATTTGTAACGAGTGTGTATCATGGCCAATATAAAAAGTGAGGTGGAGAGTGTCAATCATGTGCTATTATTTTGCCCTTTTATTTGGAGGATTTGGTCTAGAATTTTACACTGGTGGGGGCATACAGTGGATAATGTCTGGGTCTAGTTAGTGGTCTATTAAACTAGTGCATTGGTGTTAAGCTCAAAAAATAGGAGAAGATGATCTAGAGAGCAATTCCCTTGGCAGTGCTTTGGTCGATCTGGAAATCGAGAAATGACAGTACTTTCAACAATGCTCAGGTGGATCTTGATGGGTTGTGTGAATTCATTAGGATTAGGATTATTTTGTGGGTTAAATTTTCTTGCCCTTCTATCAAGTACTCTGTCAATGACAGTTCATAACCTTCAGCAAGTTAGAGTTTGCATTAAGAATAAATCTTGACTTGTTTGGTAGTTTTCATTCCTTCTTTTAGGGGAGCATGCTGTAGCTGTTTGGTGCTAGTTGGTTTGCTGGTGTGCTCACATATGGTTGTGGCGCTTTTGGTGTTTGTTTTTTCTTTTTTTTGTTGGTCCCTCACCAACTCTTTGGTTATGCTAGCAAATGATTGGGTATCCTCATTGGTGCCAATTTAGTTGGAATTTGGGGGTGTACTTTGATGCTTTCTGCACTTCATTTTCTTTATTGATGTTTTTTCATATGTAATGTATGTCTTTTCATCAATAAAGTTCTTGTTTTTGCTGATCCAAAAAAAAAAAATGAAAAAAAATATATATGGATATAAATTTTAAAATAAATTATATAATGATAAATTATTTTTTTATACAAAATTTGATTAAAAATTCAATATAATGGTAATATCATATCATCATTGGTATGTGATATCACCCATGTCAAAATTTGATTAAAAATTCAATATAATGGTAATATCATATCATCATTGGTATGTGATATCACCCATGTCAAAATTTGATTAAAAATTCAATATAATGGTAATATCATATCATCATTGGTATGTGATATCACCCATGTCAAAATTTGATTAAAAATTCAATATAATGGTAATATCATATCATCATTGGTATGTGATATCACCCATGTCAAAATTTGATTAAAAATTCAATATAATGGTAATACCACATCATCATTAGTATGTGATATCACCCATGTCAAATGTAATTAACAATCCAATAAATTTCATATCTTTATTATGAGATTACTTATACTTGTATGTCACTAATAATGACATCATCGTTACATTCAAAATTTTTCATAAAATTTTTGTAGCTAATATGATTTATAACAGTCTCTTCATTTTCAATCAAAACAACTATTATTGTTATCATAATTTTTAAAATGTCATTGACATCTAATAATATTTTTGTAATTTTTTTATTTAAAATATTTTCTTTATGTTTGCAAAAAAATCCCAAAATCCAGTGGGACACGTGAACTCCCTGGTCCCTCACTCCATCTGCCAGTGCGTGGATACAATTCTACGATGTGCAAGATAACGTCATGTTATGACCAGTCATGAAAAGTCATTCATTTTCAATGACATATTGTAGTACGCCAGAAAATCCCTTTAACAATGGATTTTGTGAGTCGTGTTTGATTTTTTTACAAGTATTTTTGCATGCCATTAAAAACCTTTTAACAGCGATCTTATGTGTCATGTTTGATTTTTTTTACAACTACTTTTGCACGCTGTTAATTCTTGGGACAAATCACAACTCTCCTTGCTCATCGTAAAATATGTAATACAACGACTTATTATGTCTGCCATAAAATACGTTGTTTCTTTCTTTTTTTTTTTTTTTGATTTAGCAGTTTTTATTTGACCAATTCTATACAATCTAACAAACATTACAAACAAGCATCACAAAATATCAATCAACCATCAAAATATTGTTTGAAACATCAAAAAGATATAGTTTCTTTTTGATGTTTCAAGCACTTGATTCTACACATAAAAATTTCAAAATTCATGTTATTTAAAAAGTTAGGAAAAATATATAATTTTATAAAATTTTCACCATTGGCAATGATTATGTAAGGTTTAATAGGACAAAATTTTCAACTCATTAAGAGAAGATTGATTTTTTTTAGTCCTACCATATTTAGGTTTGAATGTAAGCATATATGGATTAATTACGTTGACAATTCCTCAACTATTTTAAATATTATTATAGTTCCTTTAATTTTAAAAACGTACATTTAAACTGAATTTGTTGACTACAAGCACTACCATCTCCCCTTCAATAGAGAAGGGCGATCCACGTATGTTCATCTGCCCCTTGAATATGTGGATCTTCATCTCCCCATTCAACTTACCTTCCACACTCCAGCAATGAAAGGTAAAATTTTTCATTAGAAAGTTAACCCAATCTAACAGGGAAAGGGAAAAAACAAAAAACTTGATTGAGAAATTGCAATATTTTAACAAGGCTTCTTTTTCTTTTTTTCTTTTTTTTTTGAATAAGTAATTTTAACATGAGTTGATTCCACAACCTTGTCTGCAAAAATTTATAATCATTAATAAGAAGACAGGCAGCAAATCTACAAAAATACCAGCCTATAGTCGGTGAATTCACATGTTATTGTAACTAAAAAAGCAAATTACAAAAAATGGTTGGGGTTGTAAAAGAATTACAAATTCACTATAGTAAACACACCAAATCTCATGGGTTGTGAGATGGTCAAATGCCACTTGAAGAAGAAAAAAAAAAAGCTGTCCATTCTTTTCTTTTTTTTTCATGTAAACCTAATTCATGAATTTCCGACAGTTAGGAGCTCTACATAAACAGGGGACTTTGGATTCTTCACGCTCATCAGTATCGAACAAGTAATCGTACCTGTCAGACAGTGACCAAACATTATGCAATTGAAAGAATAAAAGGAAATGTCAAGGTTGGATTTAATTCATCGATCTTGTTCAAACCAAAACTGAAGCAACTAAATTTCAAGCAAAATGAATTCAGAGACACATACGTTAACTCATCACCAGCGGCCACATCAGTCTTGGCAATAAGAACTATCCGACTTTCTTCTTCACCCATACTCATGATCCTTGCATAGCAGTTGGGCATGCACTGCAGCAAGTAAAATGTTATATATATACACATGCACACACTAGTGAATTGATATGATAAATAAACAAAATTCGCTAATTTCTAAAATAGAAACTTACAGAATGGTTGATCAATCGTCCTATATTTCCTTTATTTGTAGCATCAATTACTACTTCCTCGCTGATCTTGAATAGCTGCAAAAACATTTCATCACAGTGAACATACAAAAACACACTTGACCAAGTGCAATCAAGAACAATAAACATTGAAATAAGAGGTGTTTTGAACAAGCTTGATTAAAAACTAGCTTGGTTTAATCAAAATGCTAGTAATGTAAAATCGGAATAACAAAAATAAAGAGTCCTACTCAGATAAACAAAGATTCCAGAAATGAATTCAGTTAAAGTTTTGAAATCTTCAAAGAGTACATTGACAATTTGGCAGGTCACTTAAACTTTGTTCAAATCTCAAGTTCTTAGTGAAATCAAAAAAAAACATTGAGAACAGATTGAAAACTGAAAATTGACATGCATGCATGCATGCACGCAAAAACAAACAGGCGAACAAAAAGTATCATAAAGAATTAACTCACATAGCAATATAAAAATAAAATAATTTTAAACTTTAAATTAAAATCAAGAGTTTATTACATACAAGGGTGGGCCAAGTTTTAGGGGCTCAAGGCAAATTGTTAACAAAAAGGTCACGTTTGTTTAGTAGATTAAATTGAATGAAATTGTTTGTAAATGGATTAAGTAAAAATAAATTTATTTTGATGATAATATGAGAGATAGTTAGTGATAAGATTGTTAAATTATTTTTATATAAAATAAATAAATAAAAAATTTATTTCTATATTAAAAAAAATTAAAGCAAAAAATTGTACTTGATAAAAAAATATAAAATATATTTTTTAAAAATATATATAAAATAGATTCGATTCACTCACTATTTTTCTAACCTTATTCAAAATCTAGCCAAGCTAATCCTTGAAAGGGATTATTAAGCTCCTCACACTGTTAATTCCCCCTACGAAATCATCACCAAACAAAGTGTGACCGAAACCCACACCCATACTAATCCAATCCGGGCCCCTACCCTGCTATGGCCACAGCCAATAAGCCAAATAATTAAATTAAAAGGGCACTTGATTCTACACATAAAAATTTCAAAATTCATGTTATTTAAAAAGTTAGGAAAAATATATAATTTTATAAAATTTTCACCATTGGCAATGATTATGTAAGGTTTAATAGGACAAAATTTTCAACTCATTAAGAGAAGATTGATTTTTTTTAGTCCTACCATATTTAGGTTTGAATGTAAGCATATATGGATTAATTACGTTGACAATTCCTCAACTATTTTAAATATTATTATAGTTCCTTTAATTTTAAAAACGTACATTTAAACTGAATTTGTTGACTACAAGCACTACCATCTCCCCTTCAATAGAGAAGGGCGATCCACGTATGTTCATCTGCCCCTTGAATATGTGGATCTTCATCTCCCCATTCAACTTACCTTCCACACTCCAGCAATGAAAGGTAAAATTTTTCATTAGAAAGTTAACCCAATCTAACAGGGAAAGGGAAAAAACAAAAAACTTGATTGAGAAATTGCAATATTTTAACAAGGCTTCTTTTTCTTTTTTTCTTTTTTTTTTGAATAAGTAATTTTAACATGAGTTGATTCCACAACCTTGTCTGCAAAAATTTATAATCATTAATAAGAAGACAGGCAGCAAATCTACAAAAATACCAGCCTATAGTCGGTGAATTCACATGTTATTGTAACTAAAAAAGCAAATTACAAAAAATGGTTGGGGTTGTAAAAGAATTACAAATTCACTATAGTAAACACACTAAATCTCATGGGTTGTGAGATGGTCAAATGCCACTTGAAGAAGAAAAAAAAAAAGCTGTCCATTCTTTTCTTTTTTTTTCATGTAAACCTAATTCATGAATTTCCGACAGTTAGGAGCTCTACATAAACAGGGGACTTTGGATTCTTCACGCTCATCAGTATCGAACAAGTAATCGTACCTGTCAGACAGTGACCAAACATTATGCAATTGAAAGAATAAAAGGAAATGTCAAGGTTGGATTTAATTCATCGATCTTGTTCAAACCAAAACTGAAGCAACTAAATTTCAAGCAAAATGAATTCAGAGACACATACGTTAACTCATCACCAGCGGCCACATCAGTCTTGGCAATAAGAACTATCCGACTTTCTTCTTCACCCATACTCATGATCCTTGCATAGCAGTTGGGCATGCACTGCAGCAAGTAAAATGTTATATATATACACATGCACACACTAGTGAATTGATATGATAAATAAACAAAATTCGCTAATTTCTAAAATAGAAACTTACAGAATGGTTGATCAATCGTCCTATATTTCCTTTATTTGTAGCATCAATTACTACTTCCTCGCTGATCTTGAATAGCTGCAAAAACATTTCATCACAGTGAACATACAAAAACACACTTGACCAAGTGCAATCAAGAACAATAAACATTGAAATAAGAGGTGTTTTGAACAAGCTTGATTAAAAACTAGCTTGGTTTAATCAAAATGCTAGTAATGTAAAATCGGAATAACAAAAATAAAGAGTCCTACTCAGATAAACAAAGATTCCAGAAATGAATTCAGTTAAAGTTTTGAAATCTTCAAAGAGTACATTGACAATTTGGCAGGTCACTTAAACTTTGTTCAAATCTCAAGTTCTTAGTGAAATCAAAAAAAAACATTGAGAACAGATTGAAAACTGAAAATTGACATGCATGCATGCATGCACGCAAAAACAAACAGGCGAACAAAAAGTATCATAAAGAATTAACTCACATAGCAATCTTTTCCTTCTAACCGGTAGCGTGCTTCTCTTAAATCTGCAACACTACGCCTCACCTGCTCACCACGATACTCAAGAACCTGAAGATGTATGTTGCCAGTATCAATGATTATATCACTATCAAGGAAAAAAAATTACATTAAATAAAAGTATGTCACAGAAACTCCAGCGTAATGCAATACTTGAAGAAACTACTTCAGAGAATGGAAGGGAACAGTTTGGGGCATTAGAGTATCATTTCAAAATAAATACAAAACCCAAATGTATATCTACGTCTATAAAACAACATGCATCATATGGAATGCATCAAACATAGAAAAGATTTTTGACATTGGTAATAAAGGAACACACACACACACACAAAGATATAGACTTTTTTCCAAGTCTACACGGTACCATTTCTCCTTCTTGAATATTCTGACGTGCAAATAGGCCCCATCCATGTATTCCAGATTTACCAAAACAAATCCGATAACGTTCTGTTTTCTGAAAAATGCAAAAGTACTTGTAGAATGAGAGTCATACAAAGTAGGCAACAATAACAGCTCATAGTGAAAGAAAGTTTGCCTGCAAGTGGTTGAGCCGTTCCCTGAATGTAGCAAAAGCCTTTGGATCTTCAACTTCCTATAGAAAGTAACAAAACATGTAAATTACAAATTTATTTATCCTATAAGGAAGCTAACCAAAAGTTGCTTAATAAAAAAAAATTGAGGAAAAAAAGTTCAAATGCATCTTTTGAAAGCATAAAGAAACTCCATATACTGAGGTGTTGAAATTACTCCATCTGAGTTTAAGGAATCTATCTCGTCTAAAGAATGATGGCTTGGCCCCCTCAGTCGGTGGGATATTGGTTCTGCTCCAGCATTCTACAAAACAGTAAGGGGATATATATGAAAGATAGGTCCCAGTTAATATACTGTTACAATCTAGCTAAGAGAGAGAGACCCTTGGCCTTGACCATAAAAACCGCAAGGGTACATAGGAAAACATGCAAGAAAGTAACAAGAATTATCACAAATAAATAAAGAACTTAATTATAAACATTCAAGATGCATTAAAATGGCGTCTAATGCCACATATAAAGAAAAAATTATATATTATACCTTATTGTTTGATCTTCTAAAGATACGACACCTTGCAGCAGAGAGTGGCTCAAAGTCATTAGTATCCACGTTTGAATCATTTGACAGATCAGGAAGTTCTGCTCTCTTAGTTGAAACAAGCCTTGAACCCCTGAAGTAATGTTCTTGCTTCTGGTTTTGGAGCAAGCCTCCAGTAGAGAATACCCCAACCGGAGTCTGCATAATTAACACGCCGTCTGGGTTAGGGTCCCTGCACCAAAAAAAACAAGGTATGAAAACACAGTATCTACAATAGCCAAAGCAAAACCAGAACTACCCTACATTTTTCTTGTCTTTGTGGGGTTAGAGGGTTGGGGGCAGGTTAGTGGCTACCAAGCATTAATGAATCCAAAATTCAAATATTCATGCCATTTAAAGCAGACCAGAGCCAAAAAGAAATGGCACTAGTCTAGTGCTCCTTGAACTTGTAAGAGAAGGAAGCGAGAGAATCAAAAAGAAAAAGTAACTCTTTTTCCATGACTTCAGTGAACGAGCAATCAATTGCAGAATTTACTGTTACCGACTTGACGCATTTAGATGCATATGCATTTAACATAAAATATCTCAAAATCAAATCAACAGGCCCCTTTCCCAATTTTTTCGGGTAGGCTAAATGAATCACTTTCTTCTAGTTGACTCTATTAACCAATATGCATTTAACATAACATATCTTATGTCCTTTCTTACTGTCTCAATTTGTGTCCTTGGCCTACCCCTATTTCTTTTAGCACCGTCAACATAGTTCAAATCACTCCATACTGAGACAGTAGTTGGTCGTGGTACCATCTTGAACAACTTTAGCTTCTTTTTATCTACAAATGGTGCGTTTGTAACTTCCCCTAATGCATTCATTTCCTAATCTCTCTTTTCTGGTAACCGTAATCCTCCATCTTAATATTATCATTTTAGCTACTCTCATTTTTTGACTATGTTAACCAAGCACCATTATGTAACCATAAATCATAGCACACCTTATAAACGTCCTATAAAACAAGCTAGATTTCACACCTGACTGCTAACCTCTGCTATAGAGATTATAAAAAAAATGGGATCTATTTTGCTCCAAAAACTGTAAATGTAAGTGAAAAACGAAGCGACGGTGAAGAAGAAAAATAATTGAAGGAAACAGAAGAGGGACAAAATTCTACCTGTGAGCCGCACAATATGAAACCCATTTGGTCATTTGTTTCCCATTCTTCTCCAAGCAATGCATCTGAAAGTCAAATCATGATAATCACAAACCTAGCAGTGGAAAGAAAATGGAAAGTATTCCCTGTTAAGTGAAGGGATATCTTACAGAGCATTTTGAGCATTAAAATATCACAATAACCATGTCAATTTGAATCTTTGGTCTTGTCTAAAATAACTCATTTATCACCACTAAATTGGCACATTCTCTTTTTTTGCTATATATCAGAATATCATCGGTTAGGAATTACAAAGGTGCATTGTGCATTGGCACAATCAATTCAGTGATCATGGAATTCTAGTTGGTTGAGAGCACCCTTTTCAGCTTTATTCTATCAACCCTTTCTATAAATACCACGCACACTGTACAATTTGTATAGATCTCAAAGATGCTACAAATGAGCATAATACTACAACCCTTTTACTACAGCAATGGATACCATGAGAATCAATTATGGCATTTCTGGTAGTATGGATCCATATTACGTCAATCATTGCTTATAAGATCTTGCCCCTTGACAAACATGAACAGAATAAGATGCAATGATCTGATGGTCATTCAAATATGAAAACAGATTTCTATTAAACACCATAGACAAGGTATTCCGTTTATTTATTCCAACTCGAGAACTGTAATGAGATAATCATCCTAAAATGCATATGAATACAGACGTGTTGTAAATTTATTGCAAACCATTCTGAACTCCAAATAATAATTTCAATAGCTTAAGTAGCCTATAAAAATAGTGTAGTTTCTCAAAATTATTTGTTCATAAATAGAAAAAGAAAGATGGCAAACTTACTTCCATGCGATATCCTGCTCTCAATGCACACATTGAATGAAAAGCAGTGGCACACTTGTAACACTGAGTGCAAGAACCATGAGTCTGCTTGCAAATAACACATGGCTGCAGTTCAAACAAATGTATCACATTTAAAATAGAAGGTTAGAAACATGAGGGCATATCACCAGATGAATTTCACAGTGTTTTTTTTCAGCCTCCTATGTAGATTCACACAACAAACACTGTACATGCGGGAGCCATCATATTTAAAAAATAATAGTGGGTCCATTTTGTTTCTAAATATGGTGGATCCTAGATGTACAATTGTCATTTTTTGTGTGGATTCATGTAGAGGAGGTGAAAAAACCAAAGACATAACATTTTCCTAGGAACAATGGCAAATTGTTCCACTAAATAGCAATTATACATTTATCATCTAACATATACTCTAAAATCAGAAGCATATACACTTCCAAGAAGTTGGAGTGCCTGTCAAACACTGACACTTGTCAAACACTTTGTGTCCTACTATTTTTTTCAAAAAATTGACCCAGACACACTTCGGACACTTAGGTGAACACACGTAACAAGTTAGAAAAAATAAATTTGGATACAACATAAATTTATACATATTAATCCCTCCTACTTTAAACCTAAGAAATTAATGTTTATCATCTTTGAATGAAAATCATATATATGAAAAATAATACAAATATATCTTTTGCACGTGTCCCTCACATGCCATGTCTTCTATTTTTTCAAAATTATCATGCTAGTGCGTCCATGCCCAAGTAACTAATTTGGCAAAGATCGAGGGCACCTTGAGAGCATCTATAATATATAATTTTATATATCATATTATTTTTTTAAAAAATAATTTATTTAAGTATTGTTATATTTTAATATAATTAAGATTATATTAGTAATTATTTGCATAATTTGAGTCAAATAATTTTTATACTAAATATCTAGATGCTTTTACTAGCTGATTCAGTACTTAATTTTTTGTAAGTTCAATAAAATCAAGACACGTAAACAAATAACAAAAAATGGAGTCGAGTGGTGCAACAGAAGCTTCTCTTAATTCATAAAAGTGACAGGTTCAAATTCAAATCCTTCAAAAAGCATTGTTGTTTTATTATTATACACGGACACACAACGAGCCAGCGAGGTGATGGAGGATACTAGGTGAACGTGGTACACTAGTAGTTTATGTGTTATTCAATTATTGGCTAATCCATCAGTGGCTGGGGGAATTCGTGAACTGAAATTAATTGATCCACAGATTAATCATGGATTAAAACTCAATCCGTCGATTTGCATTCTAGTTCACGATTCACCACCCATATTGCTTCAAAACTCAACAAAGGCACATCCAAACTATTTCAAACCAGCTAAAACCGCATGTTTTGCTGGTATAAGAAGCACGGACACTTTAACATGGTAATTTTTTTGGAAAAAAAGGACACCACGCGGATATATAATTTTATATATTTATTTTGTCATATTTATGAATAATAATTCTTCAATGATAATATTAAAAAAAAAATAATCTAATAACAGTATAACACTAAATTATATTCCAGCCTTGAAGCACTGCTGTCAGAAAATTTTATTGCGTCACTGTGTCAGTTAGAAACACCATTTCTACAATGATTTTAAATAAGACTCATACCTTTACAAAAGAATGTGATGGAATTCTAAGAATTCCAACTGCAGGCTCCATCTTCTCAGCATCTACAAAAGCAACTTCAGGCTGGAACCAAGCACATGTGACATGGACCCACAGGGAGTCAACATCAGTTGGTTTCAAAGCTCCCCCTGCAGATGCAGCATTCAAATCTATAAGAATCAAAAAACAGAAAATGAAACTGGGTATTTAACGCATAAATAAGGATATCAATGGGAATGCCTTTAACAGGGCAGAGACAACACTCCCTCTCAACATTAGGAGTTTCGCATGCTCTGCAAACCCATGATGTAAAATCCTGAACATTGTTTGCTCCATAGCACTCTTGATGGACTGCTATTTGACACCTGAACTCAACAAGTTAAAAATAAAATTGACTCAATGATTCGACTAGAGTGCCTAAATCAGGTGCTATCTCATCTCAGCAAATAAATTGTAATTCAAATGCATAAAATGTGATGATTAAGCATAAAGATTCATGAAGAATAGTAACACCTGTTGCAAATAACAATGTTGTTATAGTCCCAATCCTCAACCCATCTACATATAGCACATCGTTCTGTTGTCCACTTTGCATGAACAGGTTCATATTTCTCTGTCACAGTAAAAGCAGTTGCAAAATCAATTAACTGCTCAGTAAGATTTACCCAACAAATGCTCTCACTCCATGTGCAACAAATAATACATAAACAACTTCAATGTGTAAAAATTTCAGTGAAGTACAGTGTTACCTTGGAGAAAAGAAAGTAGCTGCTGTTTATTTAACTTCAGCGGATTAAAGCCATTTGCATTATACTCTGCGATCTGCAAGGATATATGCATAGTGTCAATTCATTAACCATATTACTGGATTATCATATGATGATTTTTAAACTTTCCATAGAAAAAGATAGACTAGAAACAACATTTGTTATGTCAATGACACCAAAGGGATATTAAATGAATGGAATTGGGATATGGATGGAATATAATGAAACATAGCCACTTTGAGGTTCCCTATGAAATGAGGCATGGAAGGAGCCACTACAAAGAAGTTCCGGGAGTTACGAAGGAAGCATCAAGTTAGCCTACAAAAGACGAAAAGTCTCCATCTTCAGAAGTCAAAGATGGGAAGGGGAGCTCAAAAACAGAATTAAAAAATGTGTTATAATACCAGATGTTACAAGCTCATAGTTTCACAGAAACACATTACATGTTCATGCTACAAGCATCCGACATTCCAAAACCAAAACACATATTAATCAAGGCTAAATAGAACAGTTTCAGAATACAGAATAATAATATCTTAACAAAGGCAGGATAACTAACATATGTCCATCTAGCCAATGGATAACCCATTTTACCAAGTTTAAATATAATGCTTAACACTCACTATAGAGGAACAATTTAAACACAAAATAGTGAAGTAACAAGTAGACATTATCTACCATCCTCCAGCAAGCTACAACACTCAATTTGGTTATTACCTCGATCCAGAATAGAGAAAAGATGCAATAAAAATTCAGAATATTAGAATATAATGTGATATTCACATGATGTCAACCATGCATTTGATGCATAGAACAACCCGTACTCACCAATAAAAAAAGCAGTTTATTATCATAGCATATTACTATTAAACTGAATAAACAAGTCAAAAAACAGATTAGACAAGATAATTAGGTAAAGCTTCAGAATGAAAGGATCTGGTACAAACCCATTTCTCCAGCGTTAGAGTTGAACCCTTCACTTTGATGCTAACCTTCCATTTTTTCGCTCTAGAACCTGTATGTCGTTCCCATTCACCAACTGTTTGTTTCTTTGTTCCACATGAACCACACTTGCACTCAACTCTAAAGATGAAGAAAACATAAGCAAATTAAACATCATACCTAATTTTCTTTTACAATACATCACAGATACAAGCCAAATTGATAAACCAAGTTCGAAATCGGTGCTTAAGAATTAGACGAATTCAACAGTTGGACACATACCCATACTCGACCCTCCACCCAAGTCCATCTAACATAGGTAAAGATTAACTGCATCCTAGATTCTAGCAGGTATTTTCCAGGAGAGTAAAGAACATTATAAGAATCCATGTAAAAATCATCCTTTATGTTATGGGTCAGAACTTACAAATGAAGACTTGGAAAATAGATCCCTTCCATTCCAGTGCAGACAACAGTTACTTTTTCAGGCATCACAGTTTGACCACTGTTTTCAGTAGGCCTGTTTAAATGATCAATCACATCATTAAGCATAAAACTTCCAACATCCAAAAGAGCTTTAAGAAAGTAACATACAACGTTGCTCACAAGCAGATTGCAGATAAGATAAATTCCATGTATGCTAATGTACCTGACTTTTGACTGCTGTTTTTCTGTAACCAATAGTTCACAATTAGACTCTCCTTTGCACTCAGGGCAGTAATAATCAGTGTGCTCCAGATCCTTCAAAATTTAATCCATTCAGTAACTCTTCCACATCACAAAGTCATGCAAGACAGATATAGAAAAATGCAAACCCTAAGATTGCAGATCAAGCATGGTACAAGGGCAGACCTTTAAAAGTTTGCCACAAATTTTGGCACACTCAGCATGCACCCAAACATTGCAACCATCACAGCATACCTAAAGAAAACATCCATTAATTAAATAATCTTTCAGAAGAGAATGATACAAAATTAAATACAATGCTGATTATCTCACCCAGCTCCCACCATCTGAATGATGCCAAATCTTCTTGCATACACCACAATATTGTTTTGATTTCCATAACTGTGAAAACCATTCATGCGTACATAACATAAAAACATTGTATTTTAATCTAATTAAAAGTAAACTTTAAAACAAATTTAGGCATTTCATATTAACCTTAGCACAATGTTCGCATAAATACTGAACTTCACAAGTTGAGCCCTTCTTTTTCTTCGTTGTTTTGCATGGCAGAATCAAGCCACAGCTGTGACAAAGTTGTGTGTCCTTCTTATAATATGCATCCTGCAAAGTAAAATATATCAGGAGCAATTAAACAACAATTTGAAAGTACTTCAGTTGAACTAATAACTTAAAAGGTTAAAATTCAAAAGATAATGTTAAGGACATCTGCATATGCATTATAAAGCAGCACTTTGCATTTTGTCAATGTTAAATGAAAATGGTTCACTGTAGCTCGTATACAGAACCCTGGTCTTATTCAGTTGCTTTCCTGTTATTTTCCATTTTATCATTACGTATACACTCATGTGGGAAGAGATGACGAGGAAGGAAGAACATCACTATCTTCAACTTTGAAGACCCTAAAATCTAGCATAAGCCATATAATCAACCAACACCAAGTCCTTGAGTCCACAAGGAAAGTAAAAAAGCTCTCTAAATATATTTAACCAGATGGTTTCAATAAAGCTCAACATTAGCACTTTCTAAGGGCATCTCCAACCCTTAACTCAAACCTATATCAAATTTAAAATTTGGTAAAATTACTCAAAAACCACTCCACTCTTTGACTCAAACTTATATCAAATAGAGTATTACCCCTTTTTTTTTAACCCAAATCAAGGGAGACTCAAATTTTTTAAGACCATTTTGTAGCTTTCAAATCAGGCCCGGTCCTGAGATTTTCGGGATCCAAAGCCGATAATCAACTAATAAATTTCTAGGGCTCTTCACATTTGTTTTTTTCATTGAATGAAAATAATAATAATAATAAATAATAAATAAATAAAATAAAATTTGAAAGTAAAGGACAAAAGATTTGCATCAAAATCACAAAACATACTTAGCATTACATTACAACAACTAATAAGTATTGCTTGATCCTCGCTCTTCTTGCATTTTTAGAAGCAAATAAATCAATAATACTTGCATACTTTAGTTTTTTTTGAAAAATCATTTTCAATGGATGACAATACTAATTATTTTAAATCGGTCTTTCAATTTTTTAATGGATCAATTTATTTTAAGTTAATTTGGGCCTTCTTTAATTTTTTTTGGACTTAAAATATACTTAATATATTACACTAAACTATAATAGGAGAGGCCCCTTTTTTGGATTTATTTTCAATGGATAGCAATGCTAATTTTTTCGAATAGGCCTTTAAATTTTTTAATCGGTCAATTTATTTTCAGTTAGTTTGGGCCTTCTTTAAATTTTTTTTGAACTTAAAATATAACTAATATATTATAATAGGAAGGAGCCCTTTTTTTGGGTCTATTTTGAGGGGCCTTAGGCCATGGCCTTGTGGGCCTATGCCCAAAGCCGGCTCTGTTTCAAATTTACAACTTTGCCACTACTGAAGCTTATACTTAAATTTACGGTTGAATCTAAGTTCCGTTGGAGTGCTTCATATGAAAAAAGCTTTTACTCAAATTTAAGTAAAAAATTGTTCGACAGGAGAGGGCCTAAGGCCTATATAGGGCTTAAGGCCTACCAGTGACCTATAAGCTTAAGATCTCTAATCAGGTAACAATCTTGTTATCAAATAGGTTGGTGACATTCCAAAAGCAACGCCATTTCATCTGCAACAAGTCGGCGCAAGAGATTTTATTTTAGAGTAGCATCTGATATTCTGATGTCATGATGAAGTTGGCTGGATATGTCCAACCTTCCTGAAAACTATCTTGTCACTCAACAATTGAAACCCATTTACAGACCATTGAAACATCAACCTAACAAAATATTTAAGTAACATCAACCTAACAATAGCAATAAACTAAAAAACATAAACTGTAACCCTGAAGTAATTCAGAAGAATAATTTTAAAATCATGCTCCAAAAAATTAAAAAAATAGAAAGAACTCAGCTATGTTGATAGACTTCTACATTCCCTTTAATTGTGCCCCAAAAAACTTTTTTCAATCATCAATTATTAGCAAAAAGTTGGAATCAATGAAGACAAAATTGGGATCTGCAACTTGCCTGGCTATGAGACCAGCCCTCTTGATCATGATTGGAACCAGTTGCCTCTTGAATTTCAATGTGATTTGTTGCAGGATCAGTTTCAAGTCCTGTATCAGTGTAACCATTTTCTGCTAAAATTGCCTCGTCTATTGCCATTTGAAAATCTATTGGCTTGCTGCCATACAACTGTGTCTGCGTCCGAAATCTGAACAAGAGAAATTTTGGTGAAACCCAATATCCTAATCACAATGAAATTGCAATTTTATTAAAACCCATATCGTACTCACCTGTCCATGTACTCTAAGAATGGGAAAATCATTCCATCTTTCACCCATGCATAGTCCTGCAAATAACAATCAATTTAGGTCCATCAAATATATATATATATATATATATATGAATGCTTGTTTAGAGAGAGAGAGAGAACCCTTTGTTTTCCATTTTTTGAAAATCCATAATACATAACACAGATGGTGCCGGGAACACAAGCCTTCAGGACCGGCTTAGGAGCTTGCCAAAGGGGATCGATCACAATAGCCGGCCAAGCCGGGTATTTCTTCCCTGATTTTGCCCAAACGATATCACCTAAAACAAAGTCCTCTGGCTTATAAAAGTCCGTCCTCTTCGAAGCTTTCCCTGCCGATTTCTCTTCACCGCTAAAATTACTAGGCAGCCTTGGAACATACTCATCAGCTTCTAACAAAGGTGAACTGTTCTCCTCATGAATCGATGTTACAGAGCTTCGAGAACTCAAATCCTTGAACCCATTGCACCCAATTGCTCCCTCCTCCTCTACTTCCACAGAAAACGGATTAAAACTATGTTTTTGTAAACTACACTTGTCTCCCAATTCACGTATAATTCTCTTTTTATTGAACATTGCAGTTTCACTACCATCAAAACACGATTCGTTATCATCATCAAGTGTAGAACAGTTCTTCTTCTTCCATGAATCGATAACAGAGTCATTGAATCGAGACGGAAGTACCTGAACACGTCCTCGCGACGATCTCAAAAGCGGAGGACGACTCTGATTTCCATTATTAGGGTTGTTGAAATCCGATTCAACTTCGACGGCAAGATACGAAACTTCGTTGCAACAAGAATCCACGACGCTACTGTAACCTCCTTCATCGCCATGAATCCTATCGAAGCCCTTCTTCACGGGAACTGAGTAAAACCCATTTTTCTTCTGCTTCTTCGGATTGACAGAACCCGCCTCTCTCTCCTCCTCTTCCGAATCAATGTCCTCCGCCATGCACCGCTTGAGGTTCTGCATTTCGAATTTCATCGTCCGTCTAAAAATCATCTTCTCCAAACATTTTAACCTATCGAATTCGCTTCCCGAATCAACAACATAACCCTAATTTCACAACAAACTTCGATTCAAACAAACACCAAACCTCGGAATCTCGCCGAATTGTTCCCCAATTTGAACCCAAAATTATCCTATTAAGCACGATTCCAAAATCAACCCAGTTCACGTCAATCTCCTCCGAAACCCTAATTCCCACAATGTAACAGTAAACTGACGAAATTCAACGAAATCCGACGGAATCTTTTTCTTCCGCGAACCGAATCGGAGAGAATTCGATGTTTGGGTAAGGAAGAAACAAGAATTTTCCGGGAAAACAAAAAGGAAAATTGAGAAAGAAAAAGGAATCGAATTGGAGGATGAGAAACTGATAGCTGTTGAGTAGTCGACGAGAGATCTGTCCGTCGGAGAGACGAGGAAGGCAGATTATATACGTGGTGCGTGGGTAGGGTGCGAGTTTTTTTGATTATTTAAATAATAAAAATAAAAACAAGTTTTTTATTTTTTTAATGTAGGACTGTTTTTCAAGTTGTTTTGGAGCTTTTATGGGGTGTGTTGTTGGCGCGCGTGTGTGTCTGTTTTTTCTTTTTTTTTTTCTTTGTTTTTTGGTTTTGGGCTCCAACAAAATTTGGGGCGAAATTTCGAAGCCGTAATGGAAAATTGCGAGGGAGACGAAGGTCAAGCGCCAAAACAAAATGTGGTGTGCGGCCGAAATTTTGGTTTCATTTTTATAATTTATTTTTTATAAAAATATTTTTATACCTAAAAAGTTTTTTTTTTAAAAAAAACATATAAAGCAGTTTTATTAAAATAAAAATAACTAATATACCAATTAAGAAAATGAAAATAATAAAATTTTAAAGGGCCAAATAAATAATTTAACAAAAATTATAAACAACAAAAAAATAAATTCATCAAAAAAATAGTTACCGTTTAAGAAAAATCATTAATCTTTTTCTCATAAATGTGTTTTGAAAAGGGAAGATCTGCATTAAATATGTCGGGTTCGTTTGGTTTGTATTTCTGAAAAAATTTTGAGAAATTTTCTCTACAAATAAGTTTTTAAAAGTAATCAAACTAAACAAATTTTCTCAAAAAAATTTCTCAAAACTTGTAAACCAAACAAGTTTTTCAAACAAATCTCTCTCTCACACACATCAAATCAATCACTTTTTCCAAAACTCTCTCTTAAAATAATTTTCCAAAACATCTTTTGAAAAAAACCAAATCAAACAACTTTTCGTACTTTTTATCTCTAAAACACATCTCTCAAACACAAACCAAACATACCCGTCGTCTCTATTGACGTCATTCCCATCACCATTGCCTAACTTCCGCCACCACTGCTATTGTACTCGGATATTTGCCAAAATATAATGTTGAAAATGAAAAACACTCACAATAATATGAAATAATGATTAAGAGAAGAGACAATCATCGTTGATGTCAAACCAAAAGGATTAAAAATAATATAAAAATAATGTGAGTTTATAATTTTTTATTTTTTTATTTTTAAAGATTTGATTTTAACAATCAAATGAAGCAAAGTATGTTATGAAACATATATTCGAATGTTGTCTTTATACTTGGTGTGAGGTAAACCTTATACGGGATTGTGTTTGATTTTGTAAATAAATTATGTATAAGTAGAATAATTGGGAAAAATTATTAGGAGTGTTAAAAAAAAATTGATCATCCAGTAAACCTATTTAATCCACTTTAAACTGTCATTTTAGTATAGTTTTGATTCTAATTATGGTTTTAAAAATTGTTGAATCGTTTAAATTGACTCAATTCTCGATTATAAGGCCTTAGTTATAGTTTCAAACTGAACCAAAATTAATATATTTGCCTATTATTATTATTTTTATGTAAAAATAAATATTTCTCATAAGATTTGAATATTAATATTAAGGGCGAATTATATTAATGGTCCCTATAATTTAAGATTTGTGTAATTTTGGTCCCTGATATTTTAATTGTGATATATTTAACTCTGTATTTTGAATCTCGTTTCAAATAAAAACAATTGAAGACATTGTTGCTCCATTTTAAGAGCAAAGTTGTCAGTTTGATAAAACATAAACTAATTTGACACAAATAAGTTTCAAAAAATTATTTTAAATTTTTAAAAAATTATATCTACCCACCAAAGATAAAGTTATATAAAAATGATTAATCTTTTATATTTTTATTTTATTAACAAATTAGTTTTTAATATGTGTTTGGATGGTGATCATGTAATGAGTGGTTGTTTTTGTTGATATTTTTGAACGGTTATCATGTACTAGATGGTTGTATTTGTTGTTAACAGATATTTTTAGATAATTATCATGTAATGGATGGTTATTAAGCTTTTAATGTATAATTGATATGTTTAACATATGAAATGTTTTTAGCTTTGAATTTTTTGATTTAATGGATTGGTTTAATAATGACATCAAAGTTGTCGTCATGTTTGATTTTTTCAAAAATACAAACTAATTTAACGAAAATAAATATCAAAAAAAATTATTTCTACACTCCCAAAAGATAAGATTATATAAAAATGACGTGTTTTTATTTTTTTTTTCATCAATTCAATTTGTAGTTTCTTAGAAAAAATTTATGAAAACCAAACCAAACAAAACTTTATAACAAGTTATTCATTAAAAAAAAAAACATTATATTTCAAACAACACATAAGTTAATCAACACAAAATAAATTGTATGACGATTTTGCCCTTCAAATGGAGCAACAATATTTTCAATTATCCTTATTTTGAACAAAATTTAAAATTCATAGTCAAATGTATTACAATTAAAAAATCAGGGACTAAAGTTATACAAGCCCAAAATTATGAGGACTGTTAGTGTAATTTGTCCTAATATTAATTGTAAAATTGACAAAATCTAACCAACTGAACCAAATTAATTGTTGCATTTGGCTTAGTGGTTGTGTAGCACCTTTTGTGATGTGAGGTCTTGAGTCGAACTCCTATAAAAAGGAGCTTAATATTATTTGTAATAGTTGACTTATTTCTCTCTCATTATGAAGTTGTATATGATTATTAGTGGTTGTTGGGCTTGACTTTGTGAGTTTAGTGGATTAGTTGTTAGATTTTACTGATTATATTTCCAATAATATAATTACTCTTCATCTATTACAAAACAAAAAAAAAAGTAACTGATCGTGGTTAGTTTGTTTAATAATATAAATATATATTTGGTTCCGATTTTATTGTAAAAAAAAATAAAATTAAGGGTTATGTTTAAAGAATATTTAGAAGAAATTAGACAAATTTTTTTTTTCTAGGGTTTGACCATAGTAACAAATCAAACCCTACCACTTTAATTGTTTCAATTTAACCTTTAACTTTTAAAATAATATCAATGCTAACCATTCATTAGTTATATCTAATAGAACATAGATAATTTAGATAATTTAATCACTTTTGTCGATAGTGTTAAATGGTGGCAATGGTTAGAATCTAGAGAAGGAATAAAAGGAGTGACAATGAGTTAGAAAATAGAAGAAGTAACGGCGAACGAAAAAAAAGATAAAAAAGGTGGTAATGTGTTAGGAAGATGAGGGATGGTGGTGGACAACAATAAAGATTAGATATGAAAAAATTATTAAATTGTCTAAATTATCTGTTATTCATTAATTATTACTAATATATATAAACAATGGTTAGAATATATACAATTTAAAAAATGAGAGTTTAAATTGAAATAATTTAAAAATTAATATTTAATTTGTTACTAAAATCAAACCTTAAGATTTTTATTTTTATTTTGTTTCCTCAAATATCTAATACTTCTCTTGATTTTTAATGTTAAAAAAATAAAAAATCAGATTTTGAAAAAATATTGGAGGAAAGTAGCAAACCGTTGGCCTTGCATTGAAACTTGTGTAGCCCAAAGCATTGCGTTCATGCGTTGTGCGGCTGTGTGTGTGTGTGTGTGTTTGATGAGTTGTACTAGAGAGTACAGGTGAGATCTTCGTGGTTGTCTGTGTATATGTTGTACTCTCTTCTGTCATTGTGATGAGCTAAGCCTCGTCAGAATGGACTACACGTAATACTCGTACTACCCATTTCTAACGAGTCCAGATTTCTTCCTTGAGCCCCTTCTTCATTCCCTCCTTGCAGGGACCTTTGGGTCCACTTTGAGACCCAGTTTTGATAATCTGAACCGTTCATATTTTTAGATTTATTCAGTATATTATACCTGTAAAAAATCAAGTTGATCGGATATCAGAAAATATGCGTTCAGAAAATTGGGACTACAAACTATTTTTTAATAAATAGTTTTCCGAACACATACTTTATGATATTCGATCAACTTAATTTTTTATAGGTATGATATACTGAATAAATCTAAAAATATGAACGGTTCGGATTATCAAAATTGGGTCTCAAAGTGGGCCCGAAGACCCTACAAGGAGGGAATGAAGGACCGAAATGAAGGAGAGGATCCCAATTCATTTCTAACGCCCCTATTCAAATGTTGTGGTAACGCCGACTTAATTTGGAACCTTCCTTCTAAATTTTAAAGTTACAAAATTATCTTCAAATTGTTAGGTTGCTTTCGGGGGTGTTTGTGAACTCAGTTGATTCGTCAAAATTGATCGACTTAACCTATTTCACGTGAATATTTTTTGAATTAGTTTATGTTTAGATGGGTGACAGATGAAAATTTATCAGACTCAACTTGATTTGCCAATCTCCTTAAGAAAAATTATATTATGCTTTTATACTTTTTTTTATTTTTTTATTTTTATAACTGAGTATCCGGGCCAGCATCCCTTCGAAGTGACGCACCTCGACTAATCTCGGGCCCTGAGCCGATCGACCGGGCAAAGACGCAGTGGCCCGCCAGTAGCCAGCTGGGGGTGGGATTCGAACCTGAGACCTAGAGAGGAGCAAATTCCTAGGCCCCTAATCCCTTGCCCTCAACTAACTGGGCTACCCTTGCGGGTTATGCTTTTATGCTTTATATTAAAAAATATTTTAATAATAATATTAGCTATTTATGAACTATGAAAGTCAAACATTTATTTTTATTAGAAAAAAATAAAGAATAAATTTTTTTTGAACTCAAATAAGGCAAAAAATAGTAACAAATTAAGGTAAATTACCAATAGGTCATACTTTTAGAACTTATTACCTATTAAGTTTTTGTTTTTACGAATAAATTTACAGTAATAAATTTATCAATCAGGATCTATAGCCTGTAGGTAAAGGGTAATGGTAGGAATACCAAATTTTTTACCAAATAAATTATCAAATGTCTCACACGGAAGTGGGGTCCGCAACCCATATAAGACATTTGATCATTTATTTGATAGAAAATTTGAGACTTATAGCATTTTCCGTAAGTAAATAAATCTAATTAATATGACTGATTGGTAAGTGTCTAAAAAAATTACTTCTAAAATAATTCGAAATTAAGTCAAAAACAATAAAACCCAAATTGCCAAATCAATTCGCATTCACT